TGTATGTATGTATGTATGTATGTATGTATGTATGTATGTATGTATGTATGTATGTATTTATGTATGTATGTATGTATGGATGCGTGTATGTATGTATGTATTTTCTTTCCAAAGGTTCAGGTTGCGGTTGCCGTGTTGGCGGTATGCTGGGCCTATTGCCTCAGGGTGGCACGGAGGGCCAAGTTCAAGAGATGCGGATCTCAGAAGAACTCTACGGCCATGATGTCGTCTTCGTCTCCTTCCGTCTCATGTTCTGGTGCTGTTGGTTCAACAGGAGGGTCAATCTCCATGGCTTCTTCTTCCGGGGTTTCATCCAAGGTCTTGCCAATGTCCTTGTTGCGGCTGGGGTTCATGGCCGTCGGCGCAAGGCCTTGTCTTGCCAAAGGAGAAAAAGGGCAATCTGCGGTGGAGACCTTCAATGGCTGCGGTCAGTGTCATCTTCTTGCGCTCCGAAGGCCCAGTCTGGAATTGCAGCTGCTGAGGCTGGAGTGGTGAGAGGTGATCCTCTGTCGGTGGTGACGACGTTTCCTCCTTCATCGGTGATGGAGGGTTCGGCGCTTGTTGTTGGCTGTTGGCCTGGAACATTGTCTTGATGTCAAGAGAGCCTCTGACTGCTGCTCCTTTGCATTGTTTGCGGAGGTTTGTCGAGAGGACAATGTTGTCACTGCCATCGAGGTGCGCCTGTACGCCGCATGATTTGCAGTGTATGCGGTCGCCCTTGTGCCAAAGGATGTGGCTTTGGTGGGCTTTGTGGGGCTTGTCATAGCTTTTGTCGATGCGCTCACTGTTGATGAAGCCATTGAAGGCGTCATCGTTGGCACGCCAAGTAAGTAAGTAAGTAAGTCAGTAAGTAAGTCAGTAAGTAAGTAAGTAAGAAAGTAAGTAAGTAAAGAAAGAAAGTAAGTAAAGAAAGAAAGTAAGTAAAGAAAGAAAGAAAGTAAGTAAGTTAGTTAGTTAGTTAAGTGGAGTAAAGTAAAGTAAAGTAAAATAAAGTAAAGTAAAGTAAGTAAAGTAAGTAAGATAAGTACGGTAAGTAAGGTAAGTAAGGTAAGTAAGGTAGGTAAGGTAAGGTAAGGTAAGGTAAGGTAAGGTAAGGTCAGGTAAGGTAAGGTAAGGTAAGTAAGTAAGTAAGTAAGTAAAGAAGGAAGGAAGGAAGGAAGGAAGGAAGGAAGGGAGCAAGCAAGCAAGCAAGCAAACAAGTAAGTAAGTAAAGTAAGTAAGTGTGTAACAACTGAGGAGCTGCAGTGCCGGGGGTCACTGGGCCTACAGCTTCAAGAGAGTCACCGTGAACCTCTTGCATGTTTGCATCCTTCAGTGTCCACTTTCATCAAGGGGAGAAAGCTGCTTTTGAGCAAAGCTCAACACTCTGAATACGTTAGTCCCACCTCATGCTAAGAAGTCTACATAAGCATAAACAATGACACTGATTTGCAATATGATGACCAGTTTGAAAGCTATATGTCTGAAAGCCACGTTAGCGGGCCTTCGAAAAATGCCCTTTACTCAGTTGGTTGCACACCTCCTCTTATGATCAGGTCGGTGCAACTATTCTTGGTTTGCTGAACATCAGAGCTCCTGGCTGAAGCACCTCGGCCGGGCACATGAGGGCTCCTGCGCAGCATCCAGCAGCATCCGACATTGATTCTGTCTTTTTGAAGCATTGAAAAGGCGCTTCTACTAGCATAAAGGACAAATGGCGAATGGTGGAAAAGAAGAAAGTTCTCCCCAACTTCCAAATATATCACCAACCCTTCAACTGACGAATGATTCTCCCCAACCACTACTATAGGAAGTTCGGCAATTAGCATGTTGTCCTAAAGTCTTGTCTATTCCCCCAGGGGCGACGAATGACATCCAACACCTAAGGCCTTTACATCTCAGGCGCGACTTTAATATTACATTGAAATTACACCAGCATAGACCCAGATAGCCAGGCAGAATCGACCTGTTGACATGCGACTAGCTGGAACAAGAATGTACGCAGCGTGCACAGCCAGCTTGGGGCACCTCCACAGCGCGCGCAACCAGCTGACACCAGCACCGGTGCACTTTGCCATCTGACAACACCGGCACCAGCACCCGACCAGCGCCGCCGCCCGTCTTAAACGCGCGCTCAGCCAGTTCACAGCACCAGCACCCAGGACCACAACACCAGCACCACCACCGACACCCTTTCCAAAGCGCGCGCAGGCAGCTCATTCTTATTTGCGGTAAGAACCCCATAGCTATCCCTATTTGGGGAGTAACAACGTATGATCTTGCGCATATAAGTTTACGCGCGCAAAAGTATGCGCGCAAACAGAAAGCAGCGATCTGTAGAACGATAAGGCCGTATGGTTGAGAACCTGACGTTGCGGATAGAACATTATACGTACAAAAGTATGCGCGCAAACAATACAGCCCTTGACACAGCTGTCAACCAAAACAGAACCTGAAGAGTCTGAAGAGTGTAAATACTCCACAGCGCTAATAGACAAAGAACGCTCAAGCGACAACACCGTATGATGTTGCGTGCATAAGTTCATGCGGCCCATGACTGCTGGCACTTCATTGTCAGAAGCGGCGGTTGGTCGCCCTTCACTGCTACAAGCGGCGGTTTGTCGCCCTTCACTGTCAGAAGGGGCGGTTGTTATCACTTCACTGTCAGAAGCGGGCACCAGCACCGAGCTCCGGCACGCCAGCTCACGGCACCCAGGTACCCAGCACCCAGCACCAGCACCCGGCACCCGGCACCCGGTCTCCAGCACTGCACAGCCAGCACCCAGCACCGGCGCCCAGTCTCCACCACACGCACTGCACCCAGCACCAAGCGCTGGCACCCGCTGTCTCCACCACGCGCACTGCCAGCACCCAGCACCACCACAAGCACCGGCACCCTGGCTCCAACACGTGCACAGCCAGCACCCAGCAC